TTAATAATGAGATTATAGTAATAATTTTTGCGAGACAAATATTTACTAAATAATTAAGCAATTTTCACAAGATTTTTTTTTTATTTCCGAAAGTACATCTTTCGTGAAACATGCCGTCATTACAACGATTCCAAGAGACACAGTCCTTCACGATTGACCTAAATATTATTTATCGCTTCGTTACTGTATATGAATACGGGTCAATTGAGCTTGTGTTATTGCCATAGAATTAAAAAATACTGTATCACAAGAGACAGATTACAGAACAGAGGTAGACAGATGATTGCCAAGCCACGAGGTACTTACATATTATGGGAAATGCTGTCGCTACGATCGGGTATCTCGGTCAGGATCAGAACGACGATGACAGGTATAAAGCAGGACCTCATAACTTTCCCTGATCACCTGCTGGCCGCCTTGGTCCGTTTTAGGAGGGATTGTTCGTGCGCAAGGACACGGTAAATAAAATTAAGGCTCGCGTTTCACATCAAGAATGACTACGATCGTTTTGCTCGACGTCGATCGTCGCCGTCGTCGTATGCGCACTTACTAACTTGGTGGCGACTCACGCGGGGCCTATAAACGCTTTTCAGGTTTATCGATTTTCCGACCAAGCTTGCGCATGGAAAACACGAGCAAACGACGCGTGACTACAATAATTGTCGAGTATCAAAATCAATCAGAATTGATTGGATTGTTTATCTTTTGAGTGTAGAAAGTATGATAATTATTAAGGTGCTAATTAAGAAATAAAACTTACTATTGCTAAATTTGTTACTACTTTGGACAATATGTTCGTTAATAAAAATCGTTCATCAAATTTGGTCGTCGATATGTACTATTTCGTATATGTATGTCGTTTCTAAGTGTAGTATCATAACGCATAAAAATTATCCTTTGCCTTTCTTTCCTACTTCGGATATAATATAAGCAATAGAATATCTTCTTAAATAAAAAATCTGTGAAAACAATAGAGAAGAAAATTTAGTTTTAAAATATTATTTATTTCTTATTTAAGGCCGGTATTCATAGTTAGTCCTTATATTTAAGATCGTCTAGAATAATTTTAAGATGTCATAAATCAATTATCCATGTTAAACCAGATCCATGTTAAGATATTACTCAAGACAATCTTGTAAAAACGGATTATGAATATCGGCTTAAGTGTTATAAAAATTAAGAGATACACTACTAATTCCCGCTAAATGTTTTCAAAATTGAAATTAATATCTACCTATTTTTAAAAAGCATTATTTAATATTCCACATTAAAGAATTATATATATAGCTATTTTTTATTAAATAATTTATGAAGTTATGAGGGAAAAATATTTATACTCTTGTATCATTTTATTCATTTTTTATTATCTTATTATTTACTGTAAAACAATACAGTTACCATACACCAAGGATGGCTAATTTGCTGTCATATGAAGATATACAGAATCCTAGCAACAGTGATATATAACAGTGACAAAGACATCATCAGTTCAGATGCTCCGCAGCCATAAGTCACATGCTCCAGAGGATGTTCTGTGAAGCAATTCTCCAGCCTGCGCCTTTTTAGAGTGTTCAATGGAATCTTGTGACAGGGTTTGTCGCCCGTGCTATTTGTGTACTCGAGGGGAGAGATGTTGACAGGTGTTACTTCTAATCTTTTGTAACACGTTGGGTACATGCTATCCACCACAACTAGCAATAGATTAGTATGTGCAACCTGTAAATTAATACAGACAATTATTTTTTTAAAACTATTCGATTGCTGTATTATACGCAACTTATGCAATATAATATCTTTTATATAAAATTGTCATCAATTAATTTAACAGAATAAATATGTTAATAATGTTTCATCATTTCATAAAAAATAAAGAACATAGGGACCTACAAAACAGCATATTATCAATCATCTCTAAAAAGTATATCAAAAATTTCATCAATAAATCAAGAAATAGTTTTTCATAAATCTGTTTTAATTAATAATTTGATTTTAATATTAAAAATTTCGATGCATTCATTATTTCATTCTTTCGTCAATGTTAGTCAATGATTATTATACTAATCCAATTAAATTAACCACTTTAAATGCATTATTTTGATGCATTGTAAATGTATAAATTGTACAATTATAGTATCAAATTATGAAATTATTGACAGTACAATGATATGCACAAGTAATTTTTAATTCACGCATTCTTTGTAAATATTTTAATTAACATAATGATTGTTTTAAGATTGTCTTAAAAAATATGATATTTGTATGATAATATATTATAGTTTTACACAAGCTAAGTCTCTACATTCAACATTAAAAACTGCTTAAAGCCGCACTTATCAAAATTAAAGTAAAATGTTAATAATTGCAAACAAGATGTAAAATAAGTTTTTAATATTGGAGTACAAATTAGTTCGGTCCGTTTCCCTAAAGATGGCTTCAGCTGTTGTGAATGGTTCATAGTGACAGCTGATTTTGGCGATTTCAGAGAGATTAAACATCTAATAATATTCAGTTTATATCGCTTTGAGTTTTATACAAAAACCTTGATTTTTATTGTGTTTGAAATGTCGAATTTTGTGTTAACCAAGCAGCATTTGCGGGAGATTTTGATTTTCTGCTTTAATTGGAAGAAAAGTGCGGCTGAAGCCCATCGAATGCTTGTCGAAGTTTATGATGACACTGCTCCAACTGATAAATCATGTAGGGAATGGTTTCGATGTTTCAAAGATGGAGATTTCAGCGTTGAAGACAAGCCTCGCTCTGGACAACCAAAAAAATTCGAAGACAAAAAATTAGAGGCATACTCGAAAAAAATCAGAGTCAAACGCAAGAGGAACTTGCAGAATCATTGGGGGTAATTCAACAAGCCGTTTCTGTACGATTGAGAGCTATGGGAATGATTCAAAAACAAGGAAATTGGGTGCTTTATGAACTGAAACCGAGAGACATTGAAAGGCGATTTTTCATTTGCGAACAGTTGATTCAAAGACAATAGAGAAAAGATTTTTTGCATTGAATTGTGACTGGAGATGAGAAGTGAATATTCTACGACAACCCCAAGAAGAAAAAATACTACGCTAAGCCCGATCAATCGTTGCCATCGACCTCAACATCAACACCACGGCCATTTATGATTCGAAGATCATGCTCTGTATCTGGTGGGACCAAAAGGGTCTTATTTACTATGAGCTGAAACCTGACGATTCTATTATGAGCGATCGGTATCGGCTACAATTGATTCATTTGAGCTGTGCATTGCGAGAAAAACGGCCGAAATACGAGCAAAGATATGATAAAGTTATTCTTCTTCATGACAACGCTCGGCCTCATGTCGCTAAAGTCGTAAAAAAATATTTGGAAAAATGAGATGTTTTACCGCACCCGCCGTATTCTCCGGACATTGTTCCTTTTGATTGCTGGTTGTTCCGAAGGATGCAGCAAGTTCACTTCTTTCGCAGAAATCGAAAATTGGCTCCAAAATTGGATCGCCTCCAAAGACGAGTCATTTTTTCGGGATGGAATTTGAAAATTGCCTGAGAGATGGGAAAAAGTAACAGGCAACGATGGACAATACTTTAATTGATCTGTTCATTCATTTTGTTTTGAAATAAATTTTTGAACGGACCGAACTAATTTGTACTGCCAAAAAAATGTTTGTAATATTTTGCTTAGTATGTACAAAAATCTTATCCTCCATCTCAAATAAAATAAAAAATATTTACTCTCTGAGCATAAAAAGGCCGCGAGCAGTAATCGGAGTGATTGGTGACGCCTTTAGCAGCAACGGTCTCGTTCAACATATAGAGTGTTCGCTTTTGATCACAGGGACAATAATCAAGGTAGAGTTTTGGTGGTGGCGGCGGATCTGGTGCATCCTCTTCGAAGTGAACTTTGCCATAAATGCCAGGCAAGTTTACAAACTGGGTCGCGTACCATATCAACCGCAACAGAAACCAAAGCAACAATCTTGCAACATGTTGCAACGGTTCTATTAAGCTGTTGGCAGAATTATCGATTCGCTGAAACAATTTGCGTCTCCGTAAAAAAGCACCCTCTTTTTTTAAAAAAGAATAATAATAGAAAGAATAATAATAGAAAAGCTTTGGGAACAATTATTATTCCTTATTCCTTATGCTATTTTTTATTCTTTCACCAAATGCAAATTTCTTTATAATTTTTATAATTATTAAAAACTCAACTATGTGAAATATATTTAAATATAATCTTTTAATATAATTAATATTTTTAATATAATTATTATTTTTGTCGATTATCATATTATTCTTTGACATATATTACTTACGGTCTCATGACACCATGCTTGATAATCGTAGATGTCAACCGGATTATAAAGACCCTGTTTGACCATGGATAGCATGACGGCACCCTCCTGGGTGCCCATAAATTGTCCGGTGTCTTTATTATGTGCGTCTGAGATCACTACATAACCATTTTGGTCTAGCAAATAGCAGTCAATCCAATTGTGGGCGCAATTTATTGTCGTATTCGTCGTCTGATTGTCTGAGGTCAATGCAATGAACTGTTTGTACAGATCTTTCATCGGCATTTGAAAACCCACTACAGCCGCTGGCGCTTTCTTACCGCCATCCTTGGGTGACAGACTCATCGAAGCAGTCACTATCGCGTCTGCACCTGCTTCCCATGGAACTGCAATAATATTTTGTTTTATATATTATACTACTACTCATTTCAAATATAAATCATATATAAGTAATTATATAAATGATTTTAAATCAATCACAGAATTATAAAAGATGATTTAAAAAAAAATATTTAATAATTATTTCAGGCTCAAGTAAATTAAATCAATCGTGAAATCATGTCTATATGAGTCAACACAAATTTTTTTAGTGTGTATGTTCTTTATTAAATTTAGATCCAATTAACAAACGTTTCGATCTATCTTTTGAATCCTCTTCAATGTAACTTAATGCATACAAAATTCTCTTATATATTGTCCATCCGCAATAAGTTGATATCTCTTAATGGTTATGAAATATAATATAATAAATATAATAACATTATGAAATATAATGTGATCAGAAAGGAGATGAAATTTTACATTCTTGTATTATACCTTACAACGTTTTTATTATTAAAAGAAATCAACTTATTACGGATAGACAATTTAAACAGAAGAATTTTATATGCGTTAAATTATATTAGAGGATCCGAAAGATAGATCAAAACGTTTATTGATTGGATCTAAATTTAATAAAGAACATACACACTAAAAAACCTTGTGTCAGTTCATATAGGCATGATTTCACGATTGATTAAAAAAAAAAATACACAAACACACAACAGTAATTATAAAAAAATTCTATGTCCTATCCACAATGAATATATCACTCTTACCAGATAAAGAAATACTTTCGGAATCTAATTCACTTTGAAAGATCGCGCCTTTGTACCAAGGCTCATTCACTGCTCGTCTATGAAGATCACCGAAAACAACACTATCGTCCACATTCGGCAGTTTGCTGGTTTTAAGATGATGCCATCTGGTGAGCCC